AGGAGTTCTTATTTTTCAGGGGTTCCTCATGCAAGTTGCAACAACAGGAGGCGGTTTCAATAGGACAGATATTGCCACAGTTGCACTTCGAATGTCAAGGCCAGATTTAAGAACAATCCTCTCCCCACAACCACAACCTGATCTTTAATAAAAGGTACAACATTTGTCTCCTGTATCATCATCCTGTGCTATTTTATTTTCAACCTGTTGTCCACTTTGAGTTTCCTATGGGTACAAAGGCAAGGTATATATTGGAGAAATAACCAAGTTAAGCAATAATTCTTTATTCCACGTATGTAAAGAGCTATTGTGACACACCGTGATTTGATTATATTACTTTCCATCTGCATGTGCCAAGAGAAATTGCAAAGTCAACGCTCCAAGTCTACGCCTTCCAGAAGAGTTAGCCCAACTCCCACAGTTCCCTAGTTAAGCAAGCAGCATGACCTTTGGGAGATACCAGACATGGCCATGGTGGGTGGCAGAGAGGAGGAGGGAAGAGCAGGAGCTTTCGGGTGATCCTGTATTATTATTAAACTAGGGACACTTTTTTTTTGCCCCCGTTTTGGCATTTATTTTGGGTTAGAATTAAGGACAAGAATATGTTTTGCCTTAGGCTAAGAGCACCCATTCTCTTCTTATTTATGCTAAACATCACAGCATTCAAATTGGTCCTATGTGGTTACAGATTATGGGAAGTGAAATCTAACGTATCCGGCAAATGCTAGGTTGGGAAAGATAGTTGCAAAGCAATGAAAAACTTCATTTGGAGAACTGTCTGAAGACTGGGGCTTTGCTTTACAAGCACAGCTAGAGGAAGACAGCCACATTACAGAAGAATGATTCAAACTGGACATGATAGGCTCTTTTGTTTAAGTTCTGTTTTACTATACCCTTAGCCTTCTCAAAATGTTGGGTAAGAATTCTGTATATTTTTAAAGTACACATACTTATGATCAAAGCTCAAACACAAAAGAGCAAAGTCATAGCAAATTCATCCAATCTACCTGGGCACTTAACTCAAACCTTAATATTCTGTGGTACCCGATTCATTCTGGTATTCGGTATCTTTAACTCTTTGCAAGGGAATCTGATTAGCCTGGTCATATCCTAGAGAGGTAAAGAACTCTGAATAGCCCATAAGATAACAACTTCTTATCAACTGCCACTTTCCACTTCGATAAGTCACTTTGATAAGTGTTTGTCTACCAAAACGAACGAGATTAAGCCTCAAGGAAAAAAGTGGATATTAAGCCAATAGACTTTTAAAGTCAATATTATATTACTTAACTTTGTAGAATCTGTTTTCAGTACTAGCAACACCTGAACATTCATCCTAGTTTAATATTTTAAACATCGCTATAATGTTCTCTTCGTATTTTTGATAAAGTATATTTTCTACACAACAGCATCGCAAATTTTTTATCAGTCTTTTTCCAACATTTCCCTACAGATCTCAGATCGTACCTTCAAATGCATATTCATTTTTTAATTTGTTTCTAAGCCTTCTAGCTTTACTTGCAAGACAGCTTGTAAGTCAGAGAACATTAAGTCCATGAAGATTGCCATAAAAACGTAACATTAAAAATAATCCTAGCCACAAATAAAAGAAGAGCAAGAATCTTAACACTTTAGCAGCTAGAAAGTCAACAGGAAAATATGCAAAAGACAGCACCCTTCTGAGCCTTACAGTAATCCTGTGGATATTTACTCAGAAGTAAGCTCTATTGAATTAAATGAATCTACTCACATGTAACTCTTTATAATATCCTCAATTATATTTATTTAAAGAATTTCTATGGCCTCCCAACTTGAACACTGCAACTTCAGACAATGTACAAAGGTTCTAGATGAGACCAATTTGCCCACCCCTAAAATCTAGCTTATTTAATTCATATATATGTATTCCATATATATGTTTATTAATATATTAGTATAATTTGAAATGTAAACTTGTGTGTATTAAGACTGTAACAAGAACTCCTTGATTTTTGGGTACAGGTGCATTGAGCCAGAATAACTTTTTGTTTACAATTGCAAGACAACAGGGATGCAAAGGTTTGCTGGGGAAAACACAGAAAATGATTGTACAAGAGGATGTAACTTTATGGCAATCTTTCATAACTTCAGCTCCTCCAAATATGTTCGACTTGTTAGCTGATAATTATTGTTGCATATGAAGTTGGGAATGACTCTATGTACTAAATAGACCATCACAGGAAATCATAAGCTTGGGCCATGCAAACTTTGGTACTGTCTGGATGGTGCTAAACTCCAACTCCCTGCAATTCCAGCCAGCATGCTCAATGGTAAAGGATTATAGGAATTATACTTCAACAACAACTGGATGGCAAAATGTTGCCCAACATTGCAAAGGCTAATAGGGTTATTTTTATAGATATCCTGAATCCCTGTTACCTGCAATCCTATCTGCAACTCCCCCCATCCAAACGGCCAAAACTCCATTCTTTCTTTAAGTTCAGTCCAGTCATTATTTAGCTATTTCAAGCAGAAAGATAACTCTGTCTTTCCAATAGGTTCAAAGTGTTGACGGAAGCCAGCTTCTCTCTTATCTGCAATTTAGCAATCCCTCATGACATTACTATCTCCACAGGACCAGTGTTTGCTTCCTTTTTTTTTCTTTTTCTTTCCTGGCTCAGATTTCCAGAGGTGACCACCATCAGTGTAACTTTTCTACATTCACCACAGTTGACAGAAACTTGCTGTAGAGAAGAGCAGTCCAAAATAGTTTTCAGTTGGAAAAGAGACCTTCCTTTCATTCTGAAAGTCGAGGGTATTGATCCCCTCTTCCTTCTAGCTTCCAAGCCCACATGGCAAAACAGGTATCTGGCAGTTGGTATTAGAGTGACCTCTGGTGGTCATCTAGAGTCAGTTTGATATTAAAGAAAACCCATGCATTTAGAATTCAAAAATTCTGAGTGTAGCAGTTTGTTTTGAGTAACAGAACTGAAATGAACCTAATTCAAATTCCCCCCTGCCCACCAAAAAACTACTCTTGGTTGCTCTAAGCATTCTTAATTTTTGCAATATACATTAAAATGAACATGAGGTTCCTTATTGCAGTTATAAACAAATGGTTCAGTACTCCTTGTTGATCTAACTATCCTGACTTGCACTCTTACAGTTAACACTACCTTCTATCCACTCGTTAGGTAACATGGCTGGAGTTTCATTCTCCTTCTTAACTCCTCCCAACAGATACCTTATTTAGCTGCATGATGAAAGAACAATGTAGCTAATCCATGTTGCAATGGCACACATTGTGTTACACAAAGAGACATTGTGTCTCTGTATAAAGATGGGAGTAATAATCTCTAGAGTTCCAGGAAAAGGAAGTGATGAAAGCAAACAGAAAAGTTCTCAGCGTCAGAAGACAATGGAGAAAAGAATGAGCTCTACATCTGCCCAAAATTAAGCTGTTTGATTGCTATAATGAAAATCAACTGACTAGAAAGGGCTATATTTGTTATTTAACTCTTCAGGAGAGAAGGGATAGTTTTCCCCCTTCATTTCCAATAAAGAGTTAGTTATCTTATTTTTGTCTCTATATCTACTTGTATAATACCTTTAACAGTTGCATAAAACCACAGTTAAATAAATGAGGAACATTAACAGTCCCTGTGCTCCTAGCACTGCAGCATGGAATTACTGCACTAATCATAGAGGTATAATAAAAAGGGCTTCTTTTACTATTCACATCATTATTTTTTTCTTCTTAATAGGAGAGAACTGTTTAAGACTTCTCAGCCCATACTTAATGGCCACAATCAGAACTAAAGCCCTGCACGCTGATGCCAGCCTACAAGAAAAATAAAAGATAAAAATCACAGAAGAGCAGCTAAGGTTCATGCTTAACAAATTTTGTGGTGTAGTTGCAAACTTCATGGCTTAAAATGTAAGCTTTTAAGGAGGAATCACATGTACCGTGGTGTGCTGGAGCCAGCTTGCAAGAGCTGACTGTTAAATTTTCTGGAAGCTGGGTAGCCGGTTGAGAGCAGAGCTGAGCCAATACACTTATTAGCGTGCCAATCAGCTGTTCTGCAGCTAGTGGCATAGCACAGCAGTGGCAACAGGGCAGGCAGAGCCAGCTCTTAATCATTTGCCTGCACACCACTGCATATATATAAAAGTAAGGAAGTCACTTGAGAAATAACTAACTAAACCCAATAAAGCAGGGTTCCTTAACCTTGGCAACTTGAAGATGTGCGGACTTCAATTCCCAGAATTCCTATTGAGGAACCCTGAAATAAAGTATTTACTTCTGAATACTCCCATCCTCTGCACTTATTGCATTCTTGCATTAAACATTCAAATTACAACAAACATTGTATGTACTGTACTCAGAATTAAATAATCGTGGTGTCCTATGGGACCTAGTCTCTCATACTTTTTTTCAAATGCAGTTTAAACAATTATTATGGAAATTACCAATTTCTTCCATTCCTCCATAATATTCTCTACTATAGACAAGTTTTGCTCCTTAAGTTCACGAAGATAAATTTAATGTCTCATGTTAACCAAAACAATCCCAAAGCCTTTATGCTGGAAATGTTCTTTGTTTCATAAATGATTTGAAGTCTGAGATACTTAGTGGATTTTTTAATTATTATTATTGGAAGTATCTAAAAACTGAGTCAGTTTCTATTGCCATCATTAATAGGGGTTAAAGAACTGAAAAATAAAATGTTATTTCCAATATACATTTATTATATAAAAAGAGATTTGGCATTTTCCCTTATAAAAAAGACAAAAATATGGAAATATGGTCTCATGTTGTAAGAATGGTACCTTGTATAAAATTACCAGTCAAGCAAATGGTTGCATCTTAAGATTAAGATAAAAAGACACTGCATATTTTATATATTTCAGAAATGCCTGAAATTATTTTAGTCTTCTG